GCAGATCCTTTTGTAACTTACCAACTGCATGCCAAATTCCCCCCCCCCCCGGGGAACCACAAAGCAACACTCCAATTTATTAAAAAATCCACCATTTTATTAAAAATAAATAAATAAACCAACCCATTTATTCAAATATAGGAACAATTTATTCAAATATAGGAACAAATTTATTCAAATACAGGAACAATTTATTCAAATACAGTTATGTCATCTTCAAATACAGTTATGTCATCAAATAGAGTTATGTCATAACTCTCCAAACCCTGAATTCCAGCTGGAATCTCTTGTGATTCCATTGCCTGCAAAAGGATTGATCCCAATCACTGATGTCTAGCAAAAGAGGTCTCCTTAAACGGGAGACCTCTTGTCCATGTATCCTGATCATAGTGCGTTGGCAACACAGGTGTCAGTGATAGTATCCCATACCTTCTTCACTCAACTCACAATCTCTGCCAGGCTAGGCTTCATGAAGTTTCCTTGTTGGTTTCTCTCCATGCAATTCTCAATGTAGTCATTGATTTGTACCTGCAGATTGTCCTTGAATGGTTTGTTTACTGCAATGTCTAGGGTTTGGAGATGTGCCGCATTCCTGCTGGAATCATTATTTGATCCACTCTTCTCTGTGCAAGGAAACGCTTCATGTCTTTGGCACGTTGAGTGCTGGCTGCATCCCATATCAGCATGCCTCTTTGGTCACCTCGCACACCTCACCTGGTGATAAGCAAAAAGGGCTGGCCAATTTCATATTAGTAACCATGTTTGGTTACCTAAACAGTTCCTTTTCAGGGCCACAAATAATACAAATGTTAACAAAACACTAGCATCGGCCTTGGTAATTGCAACATGTATGCCACTGGGTATGCATCAGTTAATCTGTTTTCATAGTCATTGTAAGCATGCATTGAAAGCATGCAAGAAAATTCACAATCCCTATCCAAACAGCACCAAATTGCAAAAAGCTTATGCTTTTCACTTAAAAACCACCAGTATTTATTATATTTACAATATTTACATAGCAGTTAGCATAAAATATCATAAAATCAATGGCCTATCCAAAGAATGTCATAAACCATAAACTGTAAAGCATGCAGGACTTTTTCACACAGCTGTATTTCAATTTGTAATTTACCATGGTATCCATATTATTTTTAATGTACATACTGCTGTCCAAGTCTACATTCGTGTCTTTAATTTTTCCTACCCAAACACTGTATATGATAAATTTAATTTAATTTTACAATTAGATGCTATCCAACTCCACAAGACTCTGAACAGCTTATCTTTTAAAAGCAAGAACAATAAAAAAGCAGGAGCCATAGGTATCCAGACAAACATTCCATAACCAAAGATAAATGCCACTTCCACCCTGATCCTAATAGCCCTATTTTCAGTGGCCTTCTGAACATCAATGTGGGAGCCAAATAAATTTCTCGGGAAATGTTGTCCCAAAGGGCAGGCACTCTTTCTAGGTTCCACAAAATGATATTGTTTAATTGAAAGAACTAGGAATGTGCCCATTATGCCCAGCTTTACATGATGAGCAGAAGTTATTGGAGACTGAAAGTTCTTCAAACAATTAAACTCTACAGCATAAAGGGCTTTATAAGTAATAACTGTTTGCACCCAGAAGCCAACTGAAGATAATACAGCACAGCTCCCAGAATGATGGGTGTCACGTACTGTAGCAAGCCCATTATTGCTAAGCCACTGCATTCTGAACCAGCTGTGTACTCTTCAGGGGCACACTATTTAAACTAAATCATAGTGTGTGACGCTCTTAAATGAAAAAATGTTAACCCAACTAAGACTAAGGTGGAAAGTCTCCTGGACCCATTATCCCAAATACCTACTGTCATTCAGTCTTTTCAGGATTGGGCTTGAATCTTTTCCTTTCTGTCCAGACTAAGACAGCCTCCAGACACTGAGACAGAGCACTGACTCATCACTTTGCTTGCAGCCAAGATGTACAGTTGTAAGTCAACTTAATGATGATTTATTGAACCTTAAACCAATGATGTCAGCCTTGTAAGCTAGGCTAGTTCTAGTAGCATATGCCACAAGAATTCTGGAACTCTACTTCATTGTTGTATGGCATAATAATAGAAATTTGAAGACCCAATAATTTCCCTCTGGCTCCTTTGATACAGTATATAGAAACAGGAAGGGTTATTCTGATAGCGTCCTCTGGGGTGTTTGCTATTTCCTTTATCTGTGCATCATCTGCACATTTGATATTTTCTAATCCTCTGTGCAAATCATTTATAAATATACTGAACAACAGAGGGCTGAGAATAGAGGGTTGTGGTGTGCCCCTCACTACTTCCCATCAACTTAACATTAAGTAACTGATGTACACTAATAGGAACATCTAATGGTAACCTAATCCAGTTCAATTTTCTCATTTTTACTAGAATTTCATGAGACACTTGTCAATTGCTTCGCTAAACTTGAGGTACATTATGCCTACTACATTCTTCTGGCCAATTAAATTGATCACTCTATTAAAATGGAGATCAATTTGGCCTCCTTTTCTACTCTATTCTTGATAAATTCATGCTGGGTTTTGCCAATGAATTTGCAACGAACTCTTTTCTAATTGCTCACAAACTAGCCACTTTAATAATCTGTTCCACATTTAGTCCGGTATCAATATTAAGCTTACTGGTCTGTTTGTATCTTTTTTTCTTTTTAATAATAGGAATATTTATCCTTCTCCAGACCGAGAGAACTCAAGCCAACCTCAGTGATTTCTCAAACATAACTGAAATTTTAATCAATTTGGCCCCAGTGCTTGAGGTTTCTGATTTTAGTAGACAATTAGGTAGACAGCCCATTTAGTCTAGTGGCTATGGCACAAGGTTAGCAGGTGGGAGTCTGTAAGTTCTAGTCTCACCTTAGCCATGGAAGCCAACGGTGACTTTAGGCTGGTTACTTTGACCCCAACCCATCTCAAGAGTTGTTATGTGGAAAATAAGAGAAAGGTGTGATAGATATGTTTACCACCCTGAGCTATTTATAAAAATAAAGGCGGGATACAAATAAATAAGAATAATGTAAGTGATATGACAACTTTTCAATTTTTTTATAGGGAACATTTTAGTTGTTCTTCACAGAAGGCGAATGCACAGTATTGAAAAAAAAGGGAAGATCAATTTTTTAAATTTTCTTTTTGCATAGATCTGAAGGAAGCAGCAATTTTTACTTTGGCAGCTGCAGCCAATTGAGTTATTATATGAAGTTTTATGCTCCTCATAGCATTTTTAAGTTATCAGACATGAAGACTATTCAAATGGCTTTGAGAGATTAGGAGCATAAATGGGCTAATGTGGAACTATAAATTCTTTTATGATAGGAAAATACCCCTGCCTCGATCTTTTGTAATAATGTAAACCTTCTGCTGGGAAGTAAATGCTCATTTGTGTTCGTCATGTAAAGCCTGGCAACTGTAATTTATCCTCGGTTGGTTTAACTGATCCCAGTATTTTCCATGCTGCAAAACCCTTGTCAGTCACTAGTACAAAGAGACTGTAGAGATTCTCAGACATCCAGGTCATAGTTGTCCCAAAGGTGCTTTTTCAGGAGGCAACTGGACTTTGTTTTTTCAGCTCTAACAGAATAGTGGGAATAGGATTTATATTCCTTCCAGGCAGCTAGTCATTTGTATCCTTTTAGAAGGTCATTGAAGCACTTGGAAGTTTATTCTGTGTCCTCAGGGTCACCTGGTTCCTGCAGTCTGCAATTTTTCTCCATTCCTACTCCCACACCATTCAAAGGGTGTCCATCCCAAATTGTATAGCTAAAAGTCTGTAGAGATTCTCAGTCATCCAGGTCATGGAATATAAATCCTTCCATTCCCCACTATCATGTCAGAGCTGAAGAAGCTTCTTGGATGAGAAGCAAAATGTCTTCAAAGAAAAAACAAGGAAGTCCAGTTGTCTCCTAAAATAGCACCTTTGGGATAGTACAAAAAGAGAAATTTCATCCATAGTTTTTTTCCTATCTCTACAAGGGATGGGTTCCGATAAAGCTTTCTTCTGCATCAACTCCTATTCTTTTAGCGATTATTTCATAAATTCATTAGCTTGATACAGCACAGTTAAGATAAAGAGACGGGGGACTACCAGTTAAACTTCTAAGATCGGAAGGAATACTACCCCTTCCTCTTAGCCGCGCATTCAAACCCACATTTTCTCCTATGAGAAGGCAGATCGGCGGACAGCCGCCTCCAACTTCTCTTGCTTGTTCGGTTCTTCAGATGACCCTGAGAAACCAAGCCTTCTTGTAGACTTCCAGGGCGGGACAGCACCAATGAGTGACTGTCAGAACCTGCCACAATAATAATACCTTGCCCGTTACGCTGTTGCAAGACTCCAGATAGGCATTGCTCTCATTCTCAACCGCCGCATCACGAAGGCAGCTTCTCCCAACCTTACACATAGGGACACACGGGCAGAGGCAACGCATTAAGCTTCCTCTCTTGCCCCCACCATGAAACTGACCCTGCGCACACCCATTGAAGGAAGGACTTATCCACCCTAAGCAGCCGATCTGCGGCTGCAGCTCTCCACCCTCTCGCCTTTGCGCAGGAGACAGCCCTGTGGCGCCAGTTCAACGTTGCAGCGCATGAGGAAAGTTACCCCGGGAATTACCGCTCAAATTAAAAAACAACAACAACCCGTCAGAGTACCTAATATTAAAGTCAACTTGAATTAAAGTCAAAGTACAAGCAAACCAATTCCCGAAGTAAGCTCTGAATCCATTTTATCATTACTTTTGCAGGAAAGAAAGCAGATGATGAAGCTACCTCACACGCTCCGACATTTAAAAAAGAAAAAAAAAAGGCACAGTTTAACGCGACGCATGCGTCGTTCCGGAGGTTGATTCATCACAGAGACGGATCGCTGTTGCTTCTGATTGAGCAGTGAGCGGGTCACGTGGGGTGTCATAAACCTCGCCTTGCCGTAATTGCACGTAACGCCAGGCGTAAGTTGGGGCTCTGGCGGCCTAGAGGAGGAGGGGGAGGATGATTGTTTTCCATTTCCGGTAGAGGGAGTGGAGACGCTTTCTAAGGCGAGGATGGGGTCTTTGTCTTCCTCCTCCAAGTGGGAGCGAGAGACTCTCCGGGCAGGGCGGACCACCTCCGCTTTGTAACTTTTGAGTAAATCGGCTCTTAAGGCTGTAGAACGGAATGGGGGAAGGAGCCGATGTTCTAATAATCTTCGATTCACGGTTCTTGTTGAGGGTCTCCTCCGGTTCGGTATTCAGTCGGCCAGAAATCATAATATCTAAGATTACTGCATATTCTCTTATAATTCAATTATTACAGGTCCCTGTGTTCTTCTGACCTTTCCGCTTCCCTCTCTCTCTCTTTGTGCCCTCCAGGTGAGTTAGCATCAAATGCATTTGAAGGGCCTCAAGCACGGGAGAACTTTTTCGTTTTTTGTTTATTAATATTTGCAACTTAATGA